AGCAAAACCAGATTTGCATAGTGACTACAGCTCCTCACGTCTGTGTGCCGTACTGAACAGCTGTCCTGAGACACTGGAGCTGTGAAAGGAGGAAATAGGTGCACATGGATCTTCACATCAAGTCATCATTTCCAGGGACTTTCAGCTGTCCAGATTCTTCTCTGAATTGATTATCCTGAGTCAGTATTTTTATGTACTACCTAATAGTTTTTGCATGTGACCTGAAGATTTTAGTGGAGAGTGGAGCTTGTTCAAGGTCAGTGTCAAAAGCAGAGACTTCTGCTGTTGGTATTGCCAAAGTAATTTTACTATGGTACAGTTCTTCCCAAGTGAGCAAGCTGCTAGGGTGGGGTGTGACAGTTCTTGGCTGAAGCGTCATGCCTTCCTGTCCCAAGTCGTATGCTTTGTGCATCTGAAAACCAGAGGAAGCCAAATGCCTCCATCTGAGCTGCCATGGTCTGGACTTACATACAGCAGCAGGAGGCAGCCTCTGTGCTGGCAGCATGGAACAGTCCTCCTTAGACCTGATCCAAAGCCCAGGAAAGGTAATGGAGATATTCCCAGTCAACCTCAGTGGGCTATGGGTCCAGTACAAAGTTATGTTTTATGTGTTACACATAAAAAGTGCACCAGCTGCTGCTGTTTCTTGGAAAGTGAGAGACTATAATAGAGTTCTTAACTGCTACGAGGTGAAGACACAGACTGCCTGCATGGCTTTGCCATGTTTAACCTTCCTTATGAGAGCTGGGTGTTCAGCAGCTTGCTAGTTTGGCCCCTAATTGACAGAATATACTTGTGACTCTGAATTTAATCATGGTTGCTGATTGGAGTAATTTAATCAAGTAACTGATTGGGGCAATTTGGAATAGGCCCCACTGGTGAATGTTAGTAGTTAAGATGGATTGCCCAGTGGAGACAATAGCTAGTAAAAGATAGGGTAGAGAGTAGGAATTAAATAACTCCATGTTGTCTGGCATGGGACACTCTAGCCTTCTTCACTGACAGTTCCCTCCCAGCTTCTCAGGATGGTGAGAACTCCACAGTCTCAAAATATTCGTAGACAAGGTAAGCAGTGAGATGAGGAAGCTTGCTGATGATGCTACATTATTCAGATCATTGAGGACAGGGCACACTGAAGAATCCTGGAAGGCCATTGTGAGGCTAAGGTTCTGGGCAATAAAATCAAGAAGAACATACGGTCTAGGTATACTCACAGTAATGCACATAGAGACAAAAGCAATCAGAACTTCACCTGTGACATTACTAACTTCGAGCTGGCCTGTACCATACAGGAGCAGGATGTTGATATGGTATATAACTTGCTGAAAGCTTTGTTTCAGTGCTTGATGGCGGTCAGATATATACATCAACCATTAGGAAAGGCACAGGTGATAAAATGGTGAATGTTGCCATGCCATGGCACAAGTCAATGGTTTCCCATCACCTGTGCAGTTCTGGTCCTCTCATCTCAAAAGATATAATAGACTTGGAACAGGATCGAGGAGGAGCAACAAGGATAAGCAAAGGTAAAGAATTACTTTGACTTGAAGAATGACTGCAGAGCCTAGAAGCCTCTAGGCTGGAAAAGAGACAACTTGCCAGGAATATGATGCAGATCTCAGGAGTGGCATAGAGAGGTGTGGATAGAGGTCAGCCATTCAGTGTCTCTTCCAAATCAAGAATGTTACACAAAGCAAGCAGTCAGATTCAGAGCAAAAGGAGATGGTTCTTCATAGAGCCTGTAGCAGACCTGGCTGGGAAAATGGTTGCTAAAAGATATTGTGAATGTCAGAACTCTCTCTGGGCTCAATAAAAAGATGAAGGAAGTACTTGGAGGAGAAATCCATTGAAGAACCTATATATGGAGAAACCTCATCTGGCTCAGAAAATCCCCTGATCTGAAAACAGTTGCAGACAGGGGAGAGTACAGAGAAGAAAGTATCATATGTGCTTGTCTTGTTTTTTGTCTTCCCTCAGTATCCATTTGTGGCCACTGTCAAAGTCCAGATAATGAGTTCAGGGACCTTTGATCTGACACAGTGTTCCTGTGAAACTTGTATTTCTGTAGGGTGCCCCGGAGGAGCAGCAGCCCCTTGGAGCTCCCCAGCAGAAGATCCCTGTGGCAGGGCTGTGTCTATGCGCAGCACCATTACCTAGCTTGCTCTATGACATGTGCTCCTCTGCCTCGTTTATGCATTGTACATTTTCTGCCAGATGTTTGCATGAATTATCTATGAAATTATAGAAGTCTTTTTTTTTCCTTCATAATAAAAAAAGTTGGTAGGTGTGGTGTTCGAAAATGAGGGGAGATATGTAGACCCATTGGATTTTTATTGTTGTGAAAAAGAAGGGGAAAAAAAAAAGTCCTAATTTTTTCATTTTTAAAAGCTTTGGGTGCCATCTGCTGGGTTCAGTAGGACTTTACACACTGGAACAAAATTGCTAGTTGCTGGTTGAAAAGTTTTTGAAGAATTGAATTTACCCAGGGTTGCAGCGTCTTTGCATCTCCTGGTTTTCCTGGCTCTGTTGGTGATAACGTAACCCAGGTCTATGAGATGTACTCTGCCACACAGAGAATTGCCTGCTTACATTTTCCTTTTAAAGATGACATTTAGACTGAATTCCCTAATGGTTTTCACTGTGTTTGGTCACATAACGGAGAAATGGTGGAAGGGAATAAGGATTGTCTGGCACTGTGTCCTGGCCACGTATTGCAGTAGTGGAGCCCGCTCTGAGCAGCATTCAGGCTGTCCAATGCTGCTGGAGACAGAGGCAGGAAGGTGCTGGGGAGCTGGAGAAGGCTGTTAGTCCAGTGGCCCTGGTTACTGCCTCTATTTGATACGTGGCATAGGTGTCTTGCAGCAAGATACAGCCCTGTTCGTTGGACTGTGTGAAGGAGTGGTATGTGAGTGTACCAGGTGGGTGAGGCACAGGTCCGTGGGACAGGCATGGTGCCCACTCTGCAGTTAAGGCACCTGGTGGCAGTGAGCTGGCAGCTCTGTGTTTGCAATGTGACATGTCCATAGCTCCCACCTTGGGAGTGCCCAAGAGCAAGGTAATAGATAGAATAAGGTAGCCAGGGGCCCTTCCAGAGGGCTGAAGTGGACTTCGCGTAGTCGTCATCCAGGGGAGATGGCCAGCTACGTATTTGCAGAAAAATGGCAAACAGTATGATCTGTGCGAGCGGCTGAGTTCAGACACGCAGGGAGCTGTATTGCAGTTACTCACAGCGCTGCCGTGGACACATCTGTCACTGTGAAACCCCTCAAGAGTCATATCCCTTTGTTTTTTCCTTCCTCACAGTTACCTCCCTGGTGTGTTCACTCTTGCTCCGTAATTTGATGATACAGGGCTTTGGCAGCAATACCAGCTTGCACGGTCCCATCCTCTCATCCATCCCTTGATACTTGTTCTCTCCCCAAGCCGCAGTGCCCCTTATCGCCACGTTGTATGTGAGGCCACGCTGTGTACCACTGGGTTTTAAAAAAATAAACCAAAACTACAGCATGATGGAATGGATTATATTTAACCCAGACCAGTTGCGCTTTTTTTTTTCAAATCACAATGTACCTTCATAAATAGTTGGGTCAGCACAAGCAAGGGGGTTCTGGTGTCTGCAGCACTGAGCGGGGAGCAGGGACAAGTGGCTGAGGAGCAAGACTTCTGTATTCAGCTCTGCTTTTGAACCCCCAGATCACCCAGCTGTGGCCAGGGTTTGGGCCCAGCCACCAGCACGCATCTGCCAGGAGACATCTGGCACCTGCATCAGCCCTGGGCAGGCGGGCTGCTCACAGCACTCTGTGCTGCAGGGATGCTCCTGAGTTCCCCGCATCCAGCGCTGCTCTGCTTTGGGGGCTTGATGATATGTATAAAACCAGGGTCCTTGCTGCTAGGTGGAGGTGTGCTTTGAATTTTCAACTGCACAGGTGGGAAGAAAGTGGTTTGAAAATAGTGAATCCTTGAAGCATATCTGGATGCTTTTTTGTGAGTTCACAATATTTCACTAACTATGCACCTATAATTTACAAGAATATAAATAGAAATTAACACATAAATGAGGAATAATGAAGCCTTTTCCTTTGGTTTCGTTCTTTTCCTTGCATGTCAAGAGATGGCAGTATATTTTTCCATCCAAGCTACTGCACTACTTAACAGCCGCCTTTGCTGTAGCAGGGAAAGAAAATTTCTTCAGGGTCTTAGAGAGGATGTCCAGCCTCAGCATTTTGGTGATCTTTTGAGTTGCAATGGTACGTCACCACGTACTAGTACTACATTGATCAGTAAGGGGAAGAGATCCTATATTTTATCCGAAAGAACAAAAAAGGTTTAAAAATTACAAAGGTTTCTGGTACAAACAAATGGAAAAGATTACTTTTGATGGTGGTGTGTTTTGAATGATCCTCTATCTAGAACATATGGCAGTCTACATAACTGTTGGCAAACAACAGCAAGAGTAAAGCAGAGTAAAAATGTCTAAGAAGAAAGCTAGAACTCGTCCCAAAGAAAGGCAGTCAGTTAGAAGGAAAAATCCGTTTCAGCTGAGAGTTTATGCTTAAACAAATTTAGCATACTCTTTGAAAACTAATTATGTTCAGTGTTCAGTCTGGATGCTTTGTATATGAAAAACCACAAAGAAACAGACTTGCAGTGATTATACATTGAGTGTTAGACCTTGAACCATAGCATTTGTAGACTTCATTGAACTCTAGATCACTATTAGATTTCTGTAGCCCTTGAATTCATGTTAAAATGCATGAAAATTATTTCAAGCAAATGCTGCCAGTGGCAGCTCAAATATAGTTCATAATCACCATCTTTTTTGTTTTCTTACACTCTGTTTTTGCTGGTGCTTTTTTTTTTTTTTTCCAAATCATCATCTTCATGTTAACATGATGCCCACAGGCAGTGTTCTCACCGAGATGACTGTGCGGTGCCTTCGTACTTTTGTGTAGTGATTTGATTTCTGTGTTTGTCTTATTTTATGAATTAATATCTTTCAGCACCCTCAGATTCAAAAGGAGTCACAATATATCAAGTACTTATGCTGCGATGATCAAGCAACCCTGCATCAGTGGGTAACAGGAATAAGAATTGCCAAGGTGAGATTAAAAGTTAATTTAGTTAAATATGTTTTCTTTAAAATCCTGTCTTCCTCAGGTTACTGACTGTCATCATCTCAACTGGAAATATTGTGACAAGAATGGACATTCATGCTAATTTTACCATAGAAAGAAAGAGCAGAAAGGCATGACCAGGATGGATTTGCTGAATGTTCCTGTACTGTAGTTATCAGTGTGTTTTTCTTACAAACACGGGAGTGAATTTGTAGCTATAAAACTCATGTACTCATAAAACTTACTTCACAGTTATCTGGCACAATAATAATATGCTGTGGCTAAAGATGTGCAAGCTCTGGTCAGTCCAGCTGTGACATTTTACAGACAGTTCTGCCGAAATTGTCTGTCTGCCTCACCCTCTTTAAAAAAATCGTAATTCACAGCCCATTTTGTTTTGCACAGAACATGAAGGGAGATGGATTTACACATAGCCCACTATACTGGCTATACCTGGCTGTACAGATCTGCTCCTGTTAGGTATATATTATTTTCTACCAGTTCTGCTGCAGAGTGACATCCAGCAAAGCTGTGGGGTGAGGATCGAATTATTTTGTGTCTTACACTGACAGAGCTGTTTGCTCTAGAGCCCAGGACTCAGGGTCCCAAGTCTCCAGTCTGAAAATGTAATGCTTGGAAAGCATTGGAAAAAGATATTTATTGAGAACAGTTTGGTTTAAGCCAAGTTTCAAGATGTTTACAGATGCTGAAACAAACGTAAAATGTGAGAATGGTATCAGTAGGACTGCGTTTGGTCACAAGGATTAATGTTTTATTGTGCTGTTACAGAGATGCTTTCCACCTGGCCCTATGCAGAAACAGGCACGCCACTTGTAGAAAGCTACTTTTTAACAAAACTGGGTAGGAAGGAACATGGTGAGAAAAGTTGTCCGAGAGCAAAGGGAATGGTTGGCCTATGTCAAGCTTAACACCGTGCTTATTGTATTGGTTTGTTTGTTTTGCAGTATGGGAAGACGCTGTATGATAATTACAAATGTGCAGTGAAGAAAGCTGGCTTGTCCTCTCGGTGGGCAAATCAAGGAACAGTGGAACCAGCTGCCCCTGCAGGATCCTTATCAGCAGGTATTGATGCTGTCACAGCAGTTGAAATCACATTTATTGCCCTTGTCTGTCACCATCAGTGTTGCATGTAGTCTTTGTTCAGAAAACTATCCCATGGATTCCCATGTACCAGTACAAGTTGGGGACTGAACTGCTGGGGAACAGCACAGGGGAAAGGGACCTGGGGGTCCTGGTGGACAGCAGGATGACCATGAGCCAGCAATGTGCCCTTGTGGCCAAGAAGGCCAATGGCATCCTGGGGTGTATTAGAAGGGGTGTGGTTAGTAGGTCGAGAGAGGTTCTCCTCCCCCTCTACTCTGCCCTGGTGAGGCCGCATCTGGAATATTGTGTCCAGTTCTGGGCCCCTCAGTTCAAGAAGGACAGGGAACTGCTTGAGAGAGTCCAGCGCAGGGCCACAAAGATGATTAAGGGTGTGGAGCATCTCCCTTATGAGGAAAGGCTGAGGGAGCTGGGTCTCTTTAGCTTGGAGAAGAGGAGACTGAGGGGGACCTCATTAATGTTTATAATATATGTAAAGGGTAACTGTCATGAGGATGGAGCCAGGCTCTTCTCAGTGGCATCCAATGATAGGACAAGGAGAAATGGATATAAGCTGGAACATAGGAGGTTCAGCTTAAACATGAGGAAGAACTTCTTCCCAGTAAGGGTAACAGAACACTGGAACAGGCTGCCCAGAGAGGTTGTGGAGTCTCCTTCTCTGGAGATGTTCAAAACCCGCCTGGACGCGTTCTTGTGTGATCTGATCTAGGTGGTCCTGCTCCGGCAGGGGGATTGGACTAGATGATCCTTTGAGGTCCCTTCCAATCTCTAACATTCTGTGATTCTGTGATTTGGCAAGATAATATCTTGTTCTAGACAGCCCAGTGTAACTCTAATCTATAACTAAGCTAGCAGCAGAGCTCTCACTTTAAAGTTAGAACTTGAAGTACAAAGACAACCCACTAAAGGTCAGTTTAAATCTGCATAATTTAATAAGGTATTTTTCTGTTGGCATCTGAATACAAATACTTTATCCTCCCTCTATGTTTTACGGACTGATGATCATAGAATCATAGAATGGTTCTGGTTGGAAGGGACCTTAAAGATCATCTAGTTCCAACCCCCCTGCCATGGGCAGAGAAATCCTCCACTACACCAGGTTGCCCTAAGCCTCATCTAACCTGGCCTTGAACACTTCCAGGGATGGGGCATCCACAACTTCTCTGGGCAACCTGTTCCAGTGCCTCGCCACCCTCAATGTAAAAAATTTCTTCCTTATATCTAATCAAAATCTCCCCTCTTTCAGTTTAAATCCATTGCCCCTTGTCCTATCGCTACACGCCCTTGTAAAAAGTCCCTCTCCAGCTTTCCTGTAGGCCCCCTTTAAGTACTGGAGAGCTGCTATAAGATCACCCCAGAGCCTTCTCTTCTCTAGGCTGAACAGCCCCAACTCTCTCAGCCTGTCTTCATAGCAGAGGTGCTCCAGCCCTCTGATCATCTTCATGGCCCTCCTCTGGACTTGCTCCAGTAGCTCCATGTCCTTCTTATGTTGGGGACTCCAGAGCTGACAGCAGTATTCCAGGTGAGGTCTCATGAGAGCTGAGTAGAGGGGCAGAATCACTTCCCTCGACCTGCTGGCCACACTTCTTTTGATGCAGCCCAGGATACGATTTGCTTTCTGGGCTGCCAGCGCACATTGCCGGCTCATGTTGAGCTTCTCATCAACCAGCACTCCCAAGTCCTTTTCCTCAGGGCTACTCTCAATCACTTCTCCGCCCAGCCTGTACTTGTGCTTGGGATTGCCCTGACCAATGTGCAGGACACTTGCACTTGGCCTTGTTGAACTTCATGAGGTTCTCACAGGCCCACCTCTCCAGCCTGTCAAGGTCCCTCTGGATGGCATCCCTTCCCTCCAGTGTGTCCACAACACCACACAACTTAGTGTCATCCGCAGACTTGCTGAGGGTGCACTCAATGATCCATGTCTTGAAGGTTTCTGTTTGCCCATCTCTACACTGACTGTATCGGAACTTTTTTTCCAAGCAGTAAAAGGAGTGACTGGCATATTCTGAGAACGATCATTTCAGAAAGATATTATTATACGGTGAGCCTCTGTCTTACCTAGCCTTTCACTCATTTGCATGATAACAACGTGGGTGTTAGGAGGACACAGAGGAAGAAAGGATTTCTAACTTTTTTTTCCAGTAGCTTCATCATACTGCTATTACCTATTTTATCATTGTACAAATACAACAGTGCATGATACTAGCTGTAACTTGCATGAATGTTTTTAGTTTACATGATTAAGATATGCTTTATGTATTAGGAAGGACATGCTGGCCAAGTACTTACTGTCATAAGACAGGCAAAGTCAAAATCAGTGTTGGCAGTTAATATCCTGAATTCTCATGTACACAGCTCAAAATCTTTCAAACACCTTTCCAAGGCTTTAGTTTGCATTTTCTCAGTATATGTGAGAAGAGGGTGGTCTTTCTACTATTTCTTGGAGTCAAATCATGATAATAAATGCATGTTTGGGGTAGGGAGAGTCAGTAACAGACTGCTTTGAGATCAGGGGATTTTTTGATGGTTGTGCATGAAGGTACTTTAGTGAGGGTGGATGGAACAGTGGTGGAGTGTTTTGTGTTCTGGTGTTGATGGCAGTAGAAAGGTGGCTGGCCAGTGGGGCTCCATGCTGGTGCTGCAGTCTGTACTGGATATGGGCAGGATCAAGGCCTTATTATACATATTATATTATACATACCTTATGTTATACATCTGTATAACTTCAGCTCCTGACTAGAATCCAGGAACACTGCATGTGATCATAAAATGTACTGTTAATCTTAACTAATGGATCCCATTAAATGGTTAAGTAGCCTGGAAAGATGTTAGTCATGTATGTTGTCTCTATGGAAATATCTCTGAAGGATCATTAGCATTCTAACTGAGGCAAGTCACTGTGATTCTTGCTCTCTTACAGTTATCATTAGTGCCCTATGTAAAACTTGGGGCCTGACTATAGTACTATAACCCAAACTGCCCGACTATGAGCCGTTGCTGGCCCATGTTTTGGAAATGGAACAAAGCGTGTTTTCTTCTGTTTTCAAATGGCTGTATAGCTGTTTATATGGTCTGATTTCAGTATAGGCTAAAATCTGCTGTAGAAAACTGCAGTCCTGTGTGAGCTTAGCAGGGGGCTGCTGCTGTTAACGTCGGTGGCAGCCAAAGGCAACGCTCACGAAGGCAAGTGGAACTTCTGTTCTCACATCTCAAGTAGCCTGCTTTCCCTGGTCGTGCTCTGTAGCCAGCATTTGTGTGTTCGCCTATACCCCAAACTGTACGATCTGTGGTTCTGAGGCATCCCAAGTGGCAGGGATATTGCCGCTCTGCCTCACTTTGTATGTCTTTGGACACTAAAAAACCAGGGTATGTTGTGTGCCAGCACAATATCATTATGTTTGAAAGATGAAGGATGTTCCTTTATTCAGATGTTCTGTATCACTACAAGACTCAATATTTTGCATTATATATTATGGGAATCTATATTTTGCAATGTATTTGGACTACTTTTTTATTTTCTTCAAACAAATATTAATTCAACAGAAAACTTTGGAGAAATTGACTTGCAAAGAAAACGATAACATTTAAATTAAAAATAAATCTTGATAATAGAATGCATGACCTCACATATTGGATTGACTGGAGGTTCTTTAGCTGACTGACTTTCCATATAGCATATGTGCAGGTATGTGGCAGGAGTCAATGTATCAAATTTTGCTTTCAAGTCTAGCATAGTTTATGAAATCCATTAACAGAGAAGAAACAGATTACCATTTAGCCATGTCCCAACTTTCTGGTATATCATATTTGCCCAGTAGAGCACCATACCTTGCTCTGTATAGAGTGGATCTCTCTCTGCTCTTCCATTTAGTTAAACTATCTTTGACCAGTGTCAAGCCCAAACTCCTGCTCTGCCATGGACAGCAAAGTGAGGAGAAACAGTAACTTACTCCACTTGGGAGCATGGCCACAGAACCCAGGAATTTACATCTCTCTCTGCTGAGCGCTTAGCCACAAGATTGGTTTTATCTCTTTATTGACTTCCATGATAGTCCTTCAACAAACACAGACTGTAGTTTGAATGATCAAATGGTACTTTGGATTAAATATGCTGACTGATGTGCAGGCACAGGCATAAAACACAAGGACTTCAGATGATCTTCTGTCATCCCTTGAAGCCTAAATAGCCCTAGTAAATTCAGTACACTGCAGAATTTGTCTTACTTCTCTGTCAGTTGTGTGATTTGCGGGCATGGCAATAAAAATAATTTATTCTCTTTCTTACCATATTCATGGAACCTCTTTGCTAATCAGAAAAGTACATGTTGAGATTAAAACCATCGTTCTGCTTAGACTTATATTACCTTAGCCAAGGGTTCACTAGCATCCAAGAAGTACCAGTGGAACTTTACTGCACCTCAGAACTACTGTAGATCACAATAGAGCTAGGGCAGTCATTAAGGTTTACAGATGTGTGTATCTAGGCACCAAACACTACTACTTTGACAGGTACTGCTTCCAAAAATCTCAGACTAAACTGGAGAGTTTATGTAATTCTTATCAGACTATACAAGGACTGGGGTTTTTTTAATAATTAGTCCTGCAAATTTGTCCTTTAGTCTCACATTCGCTTACCTCATTTGACAGTACTGGGTTATTTATGCATATCCCTTACAAACACAGTAATGGTGGGCAGACATTTTGCAGAGCTTTAACTTAGCCAGCTAGCAGATCTCCATTCATCTGGGAATACAGCGAGATTCACAAATCTTCTGCGATTCCAGCTGGGGAAGAAGTTTCAGAGCTGTCAGCTCATTTACTAAAGAAAATGGATCAGCTTCTCTATAGGCCTTAAAGCCTTCAGCTCTCATGGCTCTTATTGATATGAAACTATGGCGCTTTTAATCTTTAGCCTAAAGTAATGGAAAAAAACCCCATGCAATAAAAACTGAGAATGTCGTAATACTACAGCATGCTACAAACTTCAGAATCCTGTTATGAAAGACAGGTATTTAAACAACGGAAGGCCAGAGGGTGGGTTTAACTATGCCAGTTTGATTTCTGCTTAGCTTCCCTTCCAAAGCCAGCTCGCCTTCTCTATTCCTGTGTCAGCCTTAATGGTCCCTTTCTGTAATCACCATTTACAATAGTCAGAAGAAAAAGCTCTTCATTTGTCAACACCTTTTCATACTCAGATATTTCTGTCATATGTCTTCATAATTCTGCCACTTGCACTTCCTGTAGGATTGTCAGCTACAACCGTGGAGGCATGTGGACAGGTATTAGTTTTAATGTAAGGTATCTTGTTTATTTTGCTTAGGTAATGAACTGAATATGAAAAGTCACAAAATAAGCCTGAAGCAGAAAACAGACATCCTTATGGATTTTACTGAATTATGTATAAAAAAACCTCTAACGAGTGGCTCCTTGGTGGAAATTGTAAAGATGTTTTATAGCCTTTTTCTTAGTATGCTGTTCCCTGATCTGGTTAATATCACAAAAATGTAACATTCTTTTCCCTCTGTCTTGTCTCCTTTTCACAGGTGTTGTTCAGTCAAATGGACAGATACCCCAAATTGTTCGTCCTTCCAGTGCAGAATTTCCAGAGACTCAGAAGAAAGTGGATACATCAGAGGTACGGGTCAGCAGTTACTAGCAGTGCACTAGTTAAATGTCACCTGTGAACCAGTTCTTTGAGTTTGTTTTTCTTCACTCACTGTCTTCTCCCCTCAAAGTGCTGTTGTGGCAAGGATTTGCCTCCTAGGCAAGGTGGCTGGTTCCTTGCTGCCACTCCTCATGCTTTTCACACTGCAAACAGCGTGCCTGTTGCACAGAAGCAAGGAGCCACTGACAGGAGATGAAGGCACAGCCATCTACCACTTTCATTTTTCAGACAAACAGCTGTGAATTCACATAGCAGGATTAGGAATGGTTCTACTGGGACAGACTCAAAGAGTCTGTGCTGCCACAACCTCAGTGCCGTTTTCTGTCTCTGCCAGAAAACAGGTCTTGCCTTTAACACAAAGAATACAGTAGTGTTTTCAGCAGGGAATACTGTGCACGGCTGAAGATGGGTGTGTAAGAAAGAAGAAAGTGTGAAGAAGTAAGGAAAAACATGTGTTTTCTTTAGGCTCTAAATACATTCCGTGGTCAAGCTCTAAATTTTGTCTACTTGCACCACTCTGGCTGTAAAAATATCAGTAGGGTGCAGTATGAGGACTTCAAAAACATCCTACAGAAAAAAAACCCACCACTGAATTTGTTTGCAGTTCATTATTCAGTCCCTCCGTGATGCATAAAGTGCGCAGGACAAGTGAAATGAAATTCCTAGGATTTTGCTGTCACCTGCATTACATGTTCTATGCTTCTTGTTTCTGTTTTTGAGTTCCTCCTTTTAAAAGAACCGTTTCTCTGTTCTGAACCCACTTCCTCTGGAATAGATCACGTTCTCAGAACTCAGCCAGTTGTTTCCTCCTTCTGTGTCTCGTTTACTTCCATCTTTGTAGGCAAGGAGAATGAGGAAGAGAAGGCATGCATGTCACACTTGGCTAATGCCAGAATTAGTACTGCTGACTGCAGGGTTGCAGAGCACTTTTCTCTAGCAGAAGCAGATGTTGCCTTATTCATCTCACAGCTTCTACAAGCCTGGGACCAAAGGATCAAGCTGAAGTCTTTCAGGGTGCATGGTGCTACAGTTAGAGCACTAAGCTAGCTGGATCTAAACGGATAAATTAGCATAACTAGAAATGAATGTGTTACAAAGCTTTATTTTCAGGACAGCAGACTTCTCCACAGGTTTACAAGAACAGATAGCACGTTTGTGTAGTAACTATCAACAACTACCAGTTGCTACCTGAAAAAAAAAAAAAGAAGAGCAAATTATATTCACATATCGCCAAATGGGCTTTATTTCTCTTTAGAGTGTTAACTAGCAACCACAATTTAAAAGAAAAGCCACCTAAAATTTTGTTAAAATAAATGTTATTGTTAAAATACATGTGCTATCCTACATTTTATTTTTTTTCACTTGTTTGAAGGATGCTTTGATTAATATTTCCTTCAAAAAAGTTGTCAGGGGGTTTGAACATCTCATGTCCTTGCAAACATGGGTAGAACTTAGTGGCTTCAAGGACCTGTTTGTTGCACTATTGATTCAAAAGCAGAGGAGGCGGCGTGCACACGCCTTGCCCAGCAGGCAGAAGACGCCCTTACCCAGGCTTATCAGTGGCCTGTGCCAGGTCACCGGTGGAGTATCTTTCCCCTGCCGCGCACTGCACAGGATCGTGGCAGAGAGGCTTTCCAGTGCTGTGCAGAGGGGCCCAGTGCACTACCCTGCGGGTGAACCCCTGTCACACCATGTTGCAGAGTGCTGGGGACAGTGAATCCAGACGCATAAACTTTAAATTCCCAAATCCCTCCACCTTCTTCCAAGTTTTCTGCTGTTGTATCTAATGAGTTTGGCAGAGATAGGTGACTTCATTATTTCAGCTTTATCCAGAGATCCAGCAGTCATAGCTAGAATGGGAGGTGGAGATACAAGGGGGAACAAGAGCCAAAATTACATCTGCTTTTTATGTTCTCAAATCTTGCTCAGTATTTTTGGATGTAAAAACATAGCATAGATTTTTTTTTTTTAAGTCTTCATGTTCTCAGAGAACGAACAGCAGGGTGGAACATCAATAAAGTATCTTTACACGTCTCATTAACTGCAATTCTTTGAAATGTTAAAAGCACTCATTTTCTGAGGACAGCACTCAAAGAAGCACTATGAATACTGTCAACATGGAGGTTTCCACTGTCAAAGCTCTGTGGGCAGCTCCAGAAAGAAAACAAAATATTATTTGCACTCTTCAGGCAAAATGTACATTTCACTGTCTGCCTACTGCACTCTTCTCATCTATCTTCACATCTTTTCACTGTTCTTACCCATGCACTGACTGTGTCTTGTCCTTTTATTCCTTCTGCTTATTACAGGCTAAGTCGAATGACGTCAGTGCGCCTGCTCCGGCACAGTCAGTGATGAGGCCGCAGAGATACCAGACTAAGAGGAACTCAATGCTGCCACCTCCTCCACCTGAAAGACGGTCATCTGCTATTTCTGTTTCACCGATTCTACCCTCCAAAGGCAAACGAGACAGCGGCATTTTCCTAACAGATCCAGACAGCTTTCCAGCACCACCACCTACATTGAAGATTGATTTTCCAGCACCACCATCTGATTTCTGTGAACCTCCTCCTGATTTTGTGCCTCCACCACCACCAGCCTTCAGCAGCGGTAATGGAGATCTGCCGTTACCCCCTCCACCTCCACCTGTCTCCAGTAAGCCACCACCTCCGACAAAGAAACCTGTGCCACTTCCTTCAAAAAGGCTAGAAAACACAGGACAAGATGGAGGGCCACAGTCAGCTGGACCACCTCCGATTGGAGGTGGAGGCAGGCAAGCAGATTTCATGTCCGACCTAATGAAAGCTCTTGAGAAGAAAAGGGGCAGCAGCTCCTGAGCTCTGGGAGCAGGTGGACTTTGAGCCATAGCTGATTTTGTGAGGCGCCATGGAAGGTCATGCTGGATCAGGCTCTCCAGGAGGAATTCTCCTTCAGAGTTCCTCCTGGGGATCTCAAGAAGTAAGGTGGAGTGCCCTCTGTCCCCGACTTTGTCCCTGTAACCTGCTTCTCCCCTCCCTGCCGTGGCCCTCCGCCATTAACTACCATTCCAGCATCAGGCCGAGGTAAGAACTGGCTGTAGAGTCTTGCTTCACTCCGTCAGGGCAGTCAGGAATGGTGGAGCAGCACTTGCAGAGCTGGCCAGCAAGTGAAATGCATCTTCTGTGGCTGCCTCTCTAGTAGAATTGGAGCTAAAGGAAAAAATACAACAATGTTCTCATGTGAATTTTGAGAAATGGGAAGGTCCCTTTTCACAGATTTCCCCTTAAAGGTTCTTGATCAGAAATCCCCTAATTGTGGGGTTTTTTAATTGAAAATATATGTTTTTTTCAAAAATAGTCTGTCTTAAAAAGTTAAACCTCAGCTAGATTATTCTGAGATACAAGGCAGGACCAGGGCCATTTCCAGACAGCATCATCCCAAATGTTGTACACTCTTGCTTCCATATGCAGCTCCAGTCATACCTGTCAGCACTCACAGTTGCTGCCTTTAAATCTCATTTACTTGGTTAATGTCAGACAAAGAAAAATTTTTATTTGAAAGTCTTGTATGCTTCACTTGGTAAGCAGGGATTTTTTTTCCTGTTGGTTAACATTTGTCTTCAAACTGTACCTAGAAATAGTCTGTCTTCTGAAAGACTTTGTAATTATCTTGTCCCTGATATGTCTCCTAGATTTTTTTTCATTTGTTCTCCAAGTTTAATCCTCCATTGTACATTTAGGCAGCATTCATTATTAGTTCTCAAATAAAAATAATTTCTATTTTATATCTGCACAAAGTGTCATAATTAATGAACAGGCATTTTACTGGCAATTGGTACTACTTCAAATATTTTAAACAGTTTTTGCCTATACCTTCTAGGTTTTTTTTTTATTTCTTCCAGTCTTTGCCTCTTCTCATGCACATGATCTTCTCAGATTTTGCAATACAAAAAGCATAAAAAGCAAAGTGTGCAGTCTAAATAAATCAATATATAAACGCAGCTGACAGAGCAGGAGGCAGGAGCGCTGCCGTTTGTCAAAATGGAGTCTTAGGTCCGGAAGTGGTGGTGATGAGTGCTAGATGAGTCACTTAAAAAAGGTTCTGTGACATCCTGCAACTTAATCTGTTTTCATCTGAGACAAGCTGAAGCTAAGGGATGTTATTCCTGCAGTAATTGTGCCCATCTCCAGCCATGGGACAGCCACTGACTGTTTTCTCCTTCCTTTCTTTGGTTTGTCAGCAGTGTAAGCATTGGAAGAGTAAGTAAAGCTCACATCAGGGATATGGGGATGGGAGATGTCTTAACAACTGCTGTTAACCATTTGTTTGCTCTGCAGCCTATGGTTGAGGAGGTAGCATTGCTAGCAAGGTGCTAGAGCTTCTACCTCTGTGTCTCTACTGCTAAATAAGAGGACGAGGATGCAAGCTCGAGCACTGGCCTGGTGCTCACCCATATTGCCCAAGTGGGCCTAAGCACAGTCCCAGGCACAGTTCAAGGAACGGCCCAGGCCAGGCACCATTCCCAGAAGACAACCTGGACAAGTCTAAAGCAGGTTTCACTGCCCGTACAGAGAAGCCCTGTGGTGCAGACATGGCCAGTTAGAGTACCAGTTCATGGGCCAAGGCTCTTACTTACCAGTATAGGCAGAGCCCCTGCAACTCTTAACTGGTCTCTTAGCTCCCTTGCTTTCCCTGAACTGAGCAAAAAGCTCTCACCAAGGGAATGTTGTTCACCATTAACACAAATGTTACCTACAAGTTTTGAATTGATGTGCTAGAACCTTCAAAAGGTAGCTCGTCATCTCCAAACAGCCAAACATGCTCTCCAGACCAGTGCAAGGCTCATAAGCTTAGTACAAGCTTTAGTTCCAAGAGCAGGAAGAAAAATACTAACTAGCTAAAAGCAGGAGAGTTAAAACTAGGAGTTAAAAAAAGGATTGCTTCCCAATTGCTTTCCATATGTAACTGAGGTAAGAGTTATGCAGAATCATCGATGTGTGTCATTTTCTGACAAGGTGTTAGGAGTGCACATCTTTGACACACTTAGGTGACAACAGCTGTCTGCTATCCAACTATTTTTAAATCAAACGAATTTTCTTTTATCAAGTATATAGCCAGCACCAAAATAAAGCAGAACATGTCCTTAGAAAAATGTTGTGCAATAAGCTAGTTTCTCTGAATTCACAAAGCACTAAGACTTCTACACGGCTTTCCCAGCATTCACTCTTCCCACCAGAACGCTCAGCTTCCTGCCCTATTTCCTCCCTTCTCTTTTGTTACAGCACAATAGACTCAATTTTATACATTTTATAACTGCAGTAAATCATAACTCATGCACTTACACAAAAGAAAAAGTTGAGCTTTCTTTGAAACGAATCAAAGCCTACAGAAAGCTCCAGCAATCAATTAAAATGCTGTGATGATTAGACCTCTATCAGCTATTTTGTGTATGTATGTGGTTGCACTGAATTCCTGATATTCAGGTGCATTTAAGCTCTCCATTCAAAGAACAGAGCTACTGTCTTATTGATACACAATTATCTGGCTTTATTTGGTACCAAATTGATGCTGCAAAATACAAAAATATCTTCTTTTCCCAGACAGTAAATCAAAGTATTTGGAAAAAACAGAAGTTAATCCTGCCACTTCTGTCTAACCTATTGCCATATGACATTGTCTTACTCCTGTAGAGTGTGGTAATAGGTACGTTACTAGAGATTACAGTATTTTAGTCTGAAAAGATCTGAAATTGCAGCATGTTATATTTAACCGTTCTCCATACCTCAAATGGAAGCAGTCTCAGCAGCTGTTGTCTTCTTTGGGCTCTTTACATCACTGATACGGAAGAAGCACCTACTTAAGCGACCGCTTTTCCATCAGTCCTTAGGATTGGAAAGATGCAAGTCATGTGGAAAAGTCCACATGTAGGAGATCAACACTGCTGCCCCTCATAACTGTCCTCTGATACAGAAAGATGACAGGATGACAGGAGTACAAATGAACACCTGTTTGATTACCAGCCACAGTGGTTTTATTCCTCATCACCTCTTGCATCACTGCTGTGTTTATGTAACCAGAAGGAAGAGGCAGCTCTGGAACCACAGGTGGAAGCCAAGGATTTTAGGGAATATATCATGAAACACAGTATTAATGCTTACATTGTCATACTAAACCATAATGATTACAATCTAGAAGTGGAAAAGGAGGTGGTACAAAATGCTGAGCACGATGTGGGCTCATGTCTCTACAAAACACAGTTAAAAGGTAGCGTTGAGAGAACTGTATTCTTCACACGTTTTTCATGCACTCTATCAGGCTCTTTGAGAGTGAAAAAGTAGAAACTTGAATGGATCGTGTGGCAAAACTATAGGACAAAACTATTCATGAGTTATGATTGACAGTCTGACAGCAACTGGGAAACACATATTCTGTTTGAGGGAGACATGCAGAACAGAAGAGATTCCGTATTGAGAATTCTCATGGTCTTGCGAAATAGAAATTCTAAGGTAGTTTGATCACCATTAACAGTCAGTACTGACTATTAGGAAATCAGAATAGTTACTGAAAACAGGTGATGTAAACTGCATGGTAAAGCTGGAGGGAAAAAAAATAACAGAGACTTGCGTTCACATAAATCAGGGAATGAGTCCATGAATGAACTCCTGGAGAAGTAGCTGACCTACACTCTGCCACCAGAGGAATATGTGAAACCAATTTTCAGGGCTTGCTTCATTCTTTCAGATGTTTTTCAAGAACCTGAGAAATGCCTCACCATGAGCACGGTGGGCAGTACATACCACTGCTTGTAAAACAGCTCCCATTTGGGATGTTCTGGTTTTATATTGTGATTCTGGAGGCTTTCTTTACCTGTAACTATGGGTGAAGCAGAGGTCCACTTGCTACCGTTACTAATAGGATTTAACATTTATAAAACTCTTTGAAGAAAAAAGCAGTATAAAAATGCTTTGTATTTATGCAATTATTCCATGAGGTAAAGATGTACAGGCAGCTGTGTTTGGCCCGTGCACAAAAGAAACTTACCGGATGTTTGGTTCAACGTAAATTAAGAGTTCTTTCACCTAACTGGAAACCAGGGCCCAGGCTGCAGCGCTGCTGTATTTACCCTGCAGGCACAAATACGTTCATCTTCAAATCATCACTCCCTTGCAGTGTAACTCACTCCGCTGCAGGTGGTAGAGCTGACGTTCACACATTGCATCACAACGTGCTATTTTGCTTGTAATTATCCGAGAACAGACATCAACGCCAATGTTTCAATGGGCTGGCAATGCTGAAGGGCGGAACAGGCACCCCCAGCAACACACTCCTTTCATCTGGAGGTGCTGCCAGCTCAAACACTAATCCCAATGCTTGCAGAAGAGCACTTACTACCTGCGCAAGGAATGTTAACACAGGCTGAACCTGTCTAAGTTACTTAAACTTCAGGCTAGACTTTTGGGAAACTGTATTTAAATATCTACATTGTGCCTCACATTATGATACCACTATTTACATTTGAACAACTGTATTTATATTGGAATAGCTGTACATCTGAGAGGGAACCATCCTGAATAATTGTGTTGATTATAGTTAAGAAGTAAAAGCATTCAAATATTTTTTTAGTCACTGAAAGATTTCTAATAATATAATTTTTTTTCCACACTGATTATATTTCTAGAAATAGATCTGTGAAATGCTAATTATACCACTTAATAGCTTCTATTTCAGAATCAAGTGGCACTCCAGAAATTTGGAGATTCTAAACCAATCCATTCTGGATTTGAGACTAGATGAGGTAACGTCAAAAAGTAACAAAGCCCCAAAATAAGTGATTTTTGCTGTAGATTTTCTAGCATAACATTGTATCTCATTGCTTATGTATTAACTTCAGCTTAATTATACACTAAGTTTTGTGATGTGGAACTGGAGTATCAAACAAGGACAAATAA